AGCGTCGGTTGTATTGAGTATTGCAAAACATTCTAATATGCAAGGGTTGAATGCATGAATGGAACGACTCCTCAAACGAAATGTTCACCTATGTCGTAGTATCGTTTTCGAAGCGGGAAGCTCAGAAAAACGTAAATTTCTTACGCAGACTCTGAAGTCAGGAGTGGTTTTTAGACTTTGCCGATGCGCTCATCGTGAGTTTTGAGCCAATTTCTATAAGAGACAACGCTTATTTTTGCTCTAGCAAAAGTTTGCAACAGGCCCATTAATGGGGAAATGAAAATGGAAGCTAACAGTGTGAGAAAATGCAGGTGCACCCTACACTGTGTTATTTAAAATACTTATGCGCAGTATTTTTTCCGAGCAAAAACTCAACAGGTCACTAACGGCCTTTAGGTATGGAAACCGTGTTTATTCATACTACCGTTTCTTCCTCATTGATTTCACCAATCAACCGTGAGTTGCATTTCCAACCTGTTGCCATTCGCCCTTGCGAATCCCTCTCGTAAATCCCGCTAGGTGATAGGACAAAATGTCCAAAAATAAATGTCCAGAGTAAAAATATGGCCAATTTGAAAAAAGTCCATGTCCAGTGCGGGTTTCATTTCATTTTGCATTTATTTATTCCTCTGTATCGCTGAGAGTTAATTTCTGATTTATATCGAAAACCTAAATTTTGATCATTGGGTTATTTCATTCACTTCAGAAAATATTCAATTTTTCTATTGCCTTAGGCGCAACGGAATGGCGTTATCCCTTCACTTCCCCAATTCCAACCCTTCTCCTCCAAAATCGTTATCCCGGGATCTTCCCGCTCAAGTTCGGTGGTGCAACTCCTATCCACAGATCTGATCGCATGGCATCGCTGCCTTTAGCTGGCATAATATATGCATCCTGTGTATTGTTTGTGATGAATCGATTTACAGCGGAAAGCACGTCTGTCAAATCGGAAGGAAAATAGTCAGATTTTAAATGACAGCCGAACGCAATGAACGGACCAAAACAGTAAATATGGCAACCGTGTGGTAGGTTGATAGGGTTTAAAGCATTAATGCTCCCATCCCTTCGTTTCCGGGGATTCCGCATCACGCGCCCTAGGAATCCAGCCAGACAAAGACACCGCACGAAGTGGATACGAGTGTAAAATCAACTATGTCAAGTGTAAACTTAATAAAGATGTGGGGGTTTTTGCTAAACATCGTGGTTAACGTACGAAATTTGAATTTTTTTCATAAAATCGCATGAAAACAAGGTAGCAACGAAATTTCCCAGTTTGTTAGGAGTTAAACGTAAAATTTTGTCTGAAAAGAAGTAATATTCTGGTTGGATATGAACTGGAGTTACAAGCGATTTCGCCGTAGTATAATGTTCAGAATCAACTAAAATTAAGGAAAACAAGCAGTGAACTCCAACACAATGTGTTGATAAGGCGCGTCATTAACTCACACATATCAACCCCTTTAGTTTTTATTTACAGAGATTTCAAAATAGGCAAGTAGCACAACAAGAGAATTCATACGATCCAACTCTTCGACGACGCACTTTGACGAGACCGTGTATTGTGAATGTAGAAAGCCATTCGAACGAGTTTAAGTTTTTTGATCTGCCCCCAGCAATATCTTTTCAGATTCTTAAAGAAAAGTGCTACGGAATAATTTAAGCGAAGAAAGGAAAAATTCTGTCAAACTCCTGAAAGATACAGTCGATTTAAAGGTATTTTTAGGGCTAAAGTATCCAAATCACCGGTACCTATTATAAATCCCAATGTATTATTGAAAAGAAATTGACTCGATGTAAATGTAATTGCATTAAATATGTCTTGATTTTGTTATTTTAAACGTATTTCCATGCAAAGAAGTTCAACCATGTCCATGCTTTATTCATTCATGAATTGCAAGTAAGCAATCTACATCCCGAAAATCTACCGATTTGCCGTAAAAAATTGCAGAAACTTGATATACCAGGTCGATGCACTCACTCGTTGAATTTACCAACCAATTTCGTGGGTGCAAATATATAAAAATCAATATGCTATAGTCATTTTGGGTGCATTTATTTTTCATGAAACAATAATAATTTCAATCCCGAAAAACCATCAATTTTCCGTATAAAATCGAAAAAATCGAGATGTGTCAACTCCCTGACGTGAAAATTAACTTCTACGTGTAAAAATATTTACACATGGATATGCTGAACAGAAACCATGTGTGGACACAGTTAGGATACGTAGCCCCAGAATACTTTTAAAGCGCCTTTACTTTCCAGAATCTTGACGGAATTTGTTTTTGGCTTAAACGACTCAAGAGACACTGTAGTTAAAAAATATAAAGAATTTTCGATTTTGACACAAAAAAAAATGTTCGTTCAGGCACACCTTGTATTGTATGGTGTATTGCGCTGGTATTCAATCCTTGCCCTCAGATCAAAATTCTTACAAGGAAGCCCCTTGCAAAAGGCGAATTTTTTGTAATTTCTCCCAATTTCTTCTCCGTTATATAGTTGACCTGCTTGCCAAATTCTAAAGGTCAATTATATTTAATTGTAATTTATACATTTCTTTTTTCCCCTTCATTTTATTTTTTGTTTGGAGAAGTTTTGTTGATTTCTTCGGATTTCGAATACTGTAACTTCTCTTCTATTCGGCCGCTTTTTATGAATGAGACCTCTTTCAATTCGTCTTTGAACGAAGAGTAAGGAAAAAATTGCTAAGTACTCGCGAAACAATTTTTTCGAAAATTTGATGGATCCCAGCGTGACGGTGAAATGGGTAATCGAGTGAAAGTAATTAGGTCTGACTGTGACGAGGACCGCGAGGGTCGCCTTTTGTTCTTCAGCTGGGAAGCGACGCGGCGAACTGAGGCAGGACCGGGACACTACCTGGGTTTTGTGCCTGCCTGTGCACTGTTTTGGCCTGATAGGGGAGTGAATTTCTGTATGGGCCACGGTTAGCACATGGTCTAATGAGTCTCGAGGCTCATCACAGATTGCACTTACCACTATCCTGCTGGCCCCGGCTATCAGAGCAAGGGGTACCAAATTTTGAAAATCATAACATCGTTGTGGAGATCTGTCAAAGCAACGTTTTAAACGAAACGAAGAAGTGAAATTCTCATTCAACGAGTGCCGACCTGATCAGCCATCCTCGAATCAGTTCGCTTGCTTCTGCTTATATATGCATATTTTAAATCAGCGCGTCGCATTCTAAGGTTTTTTTAAAAAAAACCAAGTAACGCAGACTCTTGGTATTCATTACACATAAACTAGAGAGCCCCAGAATGAGAAACAACTTTAAATCATAATTATTGACGGATAAATAAACTTTTTACACGCTTTGGAAAATCTCAGAAGTTCGCGGTAGTCACTTTTCGGTAAGGAACTAAGGGACTCGGTTATTGTATCGAGTGGGGGGTCGAAACGATCGCAAAGGCGGTATACTACGTATACGCGCCAAAAACAAACAATAATTATAATAAGTATTAAACAAGGGAAAAAACGCGAGAAAATATGTAACTCCACATAAGTTTTTTTTGCCAAGCACGGGATGATTTTATAATCACTTTTTTAGCTGTTGTCCTTCTGGGGCACTCCTATCGATGGTTCAAGTCAAAAAATGTGCGGCTTCATTTTAACGTTTAAAAATATCCATGCCTCATTTTTAGTGACGTTAACTTTAAACTCTTCTATCACACTTACATGTACAACATTTTCTATAGCTTATTTTTTGGGAATCTGGCAACTTTTTCCGCTGATAGCTCAAATCACCCTGGTAAAAATTGGCGATAAAAGCTGCGTTTCAAAATACCATAGGAATTCTTATAGCCGGCTAAAGAAGGTTACAGAAAATCATATAGCTGGTTGTGGACTGCGGAGAAAATCATACGGCTGGGCAAACGAAGCGACAAAAAATTATACAGCCGGGCTTTACACTTTATCGCCTGGCTGTTGCTTTTTCGCCATCGATTATAAACGGCCATAAGAAATTGTGTAGAAATTCGTGTGCTTTGGAAATCATTAAATTTGACACGGAGCCACCATAATATTTAAAACACACGTTATATTTTCCTCTAATACATATTTTTTTTCATCAATTAAAACGAGAATAATCCATACAGCATGTACAAACATTTCAAAATCATTAGTTGAATAATGCTGACTCCGCCAGATTAAATATTAGAGCCTAACACAAAGCGGAGCGGCGACGCACTAGCGCCTACAAACCTAACAGGGATACTTCACGCATTGCGCAACGCGTGAAGTATCCCTGTTAGGTTTGTAGGCGCCAATGCGCGTTTTGCGCTGGCTGCCCGCCTGCCGCACCGCAGCGTGGCACGGCGCTTGAAGCAACTATTTCACACCAGAGGTATTGCACAGTATCATACGAAACTGAAGGCGCTCTAATATATTAGGAATGGCAGGCATCTATCAAAAGTACGGAGCTTTCCTCGCAAAATAAATCAAGATACCACGGCCCAAAAAGAGGTCAGTGGTCCAAAAACTCACTAAGTCCTAGCATCCAGCAGTAACGTTTAGCATACACTTTATCGCATGGCTGTGAGTTGCTTAATCGCCATTGGCTATTAAAAGCTATAAAAAATTGTGTTGCCGGGTATAGAAGCTATTGAAAATCTTACAGCCGGCCGTAGGTCTATGGTATTTTGGAACATAGATTCTACTCCCAATTTTTACCAGGGCAAGTTTTCCGACCCACATCAACCGAAAAACCCATTACCAATACCTTTTTTTTCCCCGTGACTGAGGCCCCTTTTTCTGCGGATTGACACATAAGACAAACTTACTATTGGAACGCATTAAGCAAAATCAGTTGTGTAAAATAATTATGTATAGCCTACCAACATGTTTCATCATCTTAAATATTTTAACCGGATATCAGGCATTCTTAACTACATGAATTGTAGATTATTAAAACATTAATCTTCTGAAAAAAAATATATACGTTTTCCTACAAGTTTCACTAATAAATACTTGTATTTTGTTTACAGATCGCAGTGTAAAGAGTGGAATCCAACTCTGTCTAAAATTTATACATGGGCCAGAAACATCTATTTACCGAACCCACGCCCTCTTCCGCGTCACAAGATATTTCATTCCCGGATCAAAATGTCTTGACCATCGGATCGCACGAACGATAGTCCAACCACATCATCAAACCCTCACTATGAGGTGTGGCGCGTGCAGTGAGCATCGAATCTTGCCCAATCAAACCGAGTTCGATCAAACCATGTTCCATCAAACCGCAATCCACCAAACCGGCGCGTGAATCGCTCGTGGTATTTATACGCGTTAGAAATCAACCCGAGTTTGATCAAACCGCGTTCCGTCAAACCGGCATCCGAATGTCTCGCGTGTGTTAGTAAACTCAGCTATGTTCGAGTGTGCGTCGAACGGTACAGTCCGGGCATCCCCGGTCAAAGACGGCGTGCGGACGTTCACGCATATGCTGGCAGCCGTCGTCATCAAACTGATTTGCTCAAACCCGCTCGGCGGTATAGGTCTTAGTTTGAAGAATGTCTGGTGGCGCGTCCGGTACAAAGCGCCATCGTCATGTGACGGAGTGAAAAATCCGAGTGAAAGTTCCGTGTGTGCGTCGTTCTCCACCGCATCGGCCTTCCTGTGCGTCACGTATCCAAGTTTCGTTGCTCAGTGTGTCACGTTTCTCTCTCTCGCCGTAACGTATTTCCGAGTTTTTACGTTCCCAGATCTCTCAAATCATTTCCACCACCTCGTGAATAAGGAATCCTTAGCTAGTAGTTTGTCGCTCGTGCATATCGTGGCCGCAGCCTTGACGCGGTTTCACGTTTGTGTCGTGCGTGACGTCACGTGTCACGTTTCTAACCTCATGTCCGTCACGCATCGGTTCCTACGCTTCATGGCGGCGTTGGACAGTTGTCTGCGGAGGGTGGTCTGCCGGCGGAGTTTTGTGATACTGCTCCTTTGCGCGAACCTGGGGCTCGTCGCGGAGGGTCGCCTAGGGTCCAAGAGGGACCTGACGAAGAAGGAAGTGCAGATTGTTCTGATAGCCCCAGCGGACCCAAAGCTCCTGAAAGACGAGGGGCTGGAGCCGTTGCCAGCCATATCGCCAGCTGTCCAGCTGGCAGTCAAGAACATTTCGGACCCACAGACCGGACTCCTGCCCGGGTGGAATATCAGCGTCATCGAAAAGGACTCACAGTGCTCCTCCGCCTGGGGACCTATCGCCGCTTTTGAGTACCATCAAACTGCAGGTAAAATCCTTTTATAATATAAACGTAATAGTCGTAGTTGCTTGATTGGGTTCCTCCTGGGAGGAGACGAAGGGGACGTCCAGTGAAAGGGTGACGACAGGGGGTTTTAGAAAAAATGAGGGTTTGCCAACTCCCTGAAGGGCTTTGGGAGGATAGGGGACTTTGGCGGCTAGGGGTCGCAGGGCGCCAAAGAGCGCTGTAAAAGCGGCACATACGTACATACATAGTCGTAGTACTAATCTACAGCGCTAAGGAAGAACGACGTATAAACCTTTGAGAGTTGCCGAATTTCCCATGATGAAACACATTTTTTGACAACATTCATGCATATTTTTCTTGAAGTTTTCAGATATTTTAGATTAAATTGCGTACGAGATCGTCTAAAAATTTTGGAAAATAATATTCGCAAATTTTCCGGTAAATTCGGTTTTCATCGGAGGAAACTTGGCAGGGTCTGAGAGGCTCATACGGCGTTTTTGCTTAGCACGGCAGTAATGTTTGCTTCATAGGTGGATCCAAGGGGAGGAGGGGTGAGGTAGGGTGTGCCTTATTTTTGAGTTTTGCGAAAATCAAGTTGGTCAACCCCTAAAAAGTTTCTATGTAGTCTCTAAATGAACCCCCTAAAAGGAAAAAATTTTAAAAAAATTTTAACCCGTGCCTCAAAGGGCCTAAAGGGCCTAAACCCAAAATTCAAAAATTTTGGCAAGCGACACATCAATTCTGAAGGAAAATGGCAAGTTACGGC